ACCTAAATGATTCTATGATCCTATGAAGGGAACACCTTGTTCACATCAAAGAATTACTTACCCCTAACACACTCTATCACTGTGGGTCTTTGAGCTTTAGTCTTGGGAGGGGGAGAGTTGAATCTCAGGTAGGGTGCTTTTTTAAGCGTGCTACGATGGCCCTGGTAAATTGGTTTCCCATAAACTTGAGACAGATAGTCTTCATTTTGTACCATTGTGCTTCCCTTCACAGGTTCCTGACACACACACAAAAAAAAAGCAGTTCACAATTCTTCCTGTATAAAAATTTGAACACAACAGTAGTGTTGAAAATGTCTGGAGGAAGAAAAGAACTAAGTTCCACAGCAAATGGTATCATTTGCAAGCACACATAAAAATTTATGCATACAGAATACATACAAGCAGCTTACTAACAGCTGAATGAAATAGCAGGTGCTGAGTAAGACAAACTGGTAACACAACAATGAATTCCACAGTGTTACAGATACTCAGCTTAGGCTTCTACAGCACATGAAAACAAGGACAATTCTGACAAGAGGAATCCACAGGACAGGGAGATCACTTTCACTTGAAATTATTACAGCTACACATAGAAATAATTTTTCATACGCATACTGCAATCTAAAGCATAGCAGTGATTACGAAAGAAGGAGAAAACTACTGGGGAACTCACAGCTGCCCTTTTTTCTTTCCTCTGCAAATTTTCAGAAGAAAAGTAAGTTCTAAATCTCTGTTTGCTTGTGTTATCTTCTGCTTGCCTCTGCAATGGCTTAGCTGCAGATAAAGGCTTCTTTGTCAAGCATCCTTGCATTTTTTGAGTTTTTGCTTTAATTTCTTTATTGGTCTTCACAGTCTTGACGTTTTGGGCTCTCTTGATCCATGGGACCTTTTGATCATATTTCACTTGTTCTGAATCATTTCTTGCCATTTCAGCCTAAAGATAAAACATAAACGTAATAAAAGGAGATTTTATCTTCAAGGCTATCAGAAGAGTCTGTGGATAACTTTGAAGTTCTGAGAAATGGCCTGTTTTTCATATCAGCCAGCAATTGCGACCAGTGATTTACATTAAGAAACTCAAGTTTTAAAACAGAGATAAATACTTTACTATAGTACACTACATGGTAATAATAATAAGCAGTTTTCTCATGTTTTCGAGTTGTGACTGAATAAGGTTTAATTACTGACATGAAAGAACAGCGTAAAGGTGGCAAAATGTACCACAAACACCTGAACTCATGTTTTTCCAGCCATACCTGAATTTCTGCACTGATTGCCTTAATCCACTCATCCACAGTCCTCCTGATACGAATCTCTTCCAATCCATTACTGAAATAAAAGAAAGAACTACTTCAGGGCAGTGCTCTTCTAATCACACATATTCATTCATGGGAAAGTACTGACCTATAAAAACTATAAATAGAGAAACCCAGAACACACCAAAATGCACTAAACAAACCCTATCCAAATTTCCCCAAACTAAACCTGTTCTTACATAATGCCACCTGCAAAACCCACCCCTCTGGTATGTACTAACATTGTTACAAACATCTACACATCAGCTCTTATTTTGATCAATAACTGAAAAAACAAGGTAACAAAAACATTCCAACTCAAAAGACAAAAAGCAGATGACAGAAATGACTGCTTCCTCTAAAAGAGCAGATAGCATGCCTGAAAAAAAAAATCCTGATGTGAAGGGAAGAGTGACCTTCCTCACGAAAACACAAGATTAAGTTGCATTTTAATAGGAAAACTTTCATTATGATTCAAGCAGGAGTATTTAACACAACTAACAAAGGAAAAGTTCAGAAGCTAAAGACCTGCTGCAGGATGACAAATTCTGTAACATTTACAGGCTTATGAAGTCTCTTCTGTTCTGAATGATGAAATAACTCTTTAATGTTCTTATCAATGCAACTTTGTCTACAAAACCTAAATGCCCACACTTGATGACATCAGAGCAATTAGCCCAGAGGATAAAGTCTCAGAATTCAGATTTACCATGAAGTAACAGGAACCTGTCAAAAAATTCAGTTCACATCAGGAGGGTCAAAAAACATTTCAGGTTCAATAGAATCACCTAATGATTGCTGAGAAAAGTCAATAAGTATTTTCCTCAGGGAAGTGCACTAGTTCTTCAATGCATAGAATTAAAAAAATTGAAAGAGAGGTGATAAAAGGTGAGCACATACAATGAGGAGTCACACAAAGCATTGAATTACAGGCTCTAACCTGTTTGCAGTCAGGGCATTAATGAAAGTGTACATGGCATCCCCATCTTTCGCACACGTTATGGCTTCCAAATTTTCTTCAAGAACTTTTTTATTGTTTTGAACTCCTCTCAAAATCCTTTCAGCATCTCTTAGTATAGACTTGGGCACTTTAATGTTTTGAAGGATGGATGGTTTATTGAGCTGACGATGTTCAGGAAGATCAGATGCAAGAGCAAGCTTCTTTGACTGAAATTGAAACAGAACCTCTAGCTCTTAATCAGAGATTATAATTTTAATTTTCTACACACTGAGCAGAATTTCTATTAACTTATCACACCAATGTCCATCCTATGAAACACCGTCCACATGTACCAACATTCATTTCAATTACTCAAGAACATTCAGTATATTGTGAATATATTTAAAAGTCAAGCAACTGGAAAGATGTCTACAAGCTCTCAAAATTATTTATGAGAGGCAATGCTAATGAAGCTAATAAGCATGTGAAAAAAATGGCAATTAGACACATGAAGTTAAGTATCACATGCAATTCTCTTCATGTAAAAGTATTTAAGTATAATTAAAAGCCTAATAAACCCCAAATTCCTCTAAATATATGCACTCATTTGGCATCAACCCACCCCAAGAAACAACAAGCACATACTTAAGTTTTAACAACAGAATAAACCCCTCAACAGCACCACGATCCTTATTTGCCAAGTTCTATTTTTGATAAGAAACAACGAAGCAACTATTAGCCTTTTACTTTGTAGAACCTTTTTATAGAGATAAAAATCAAGCATGTATTAGCTGCTAAATACAAAAGGAAGGGACACAAGTACACGGGAAACAAGGAGCCACACAGCTATTAGTTCTCACACTCATCCTCATGCTCCTGATGAAACCCAGAGGTCCCCATGTAAAGTACTTCATTGTCCAGGAAGGAAACAAAAAAAAAAAATTAAAAAGTGATACACGTATGTAAAGAAAAAGATACCCCCAGACAAAACCAAAATACCCCAAATTGAGTAGACTCTGAAAGCATCAGCTATATGAGTAGGAAAAAAAAAAAACAAACCCTCACAGAGCACAAATTAGTTTTGACTTTAAAGCTACTATTTTATCAAATCAGAATTAAACAGAAAAGACAAGTTACATCTTAATTTAAAAAATGTACGTAATGGCAACCTTCTCAAAAAAATACAAGTATGCAATAGTTACTGTAGTGTTATCACATTGCAAGCATGTAAGAAAGTTTCAGTGTTACAGTATTAAAAAAAAAAACAAAAAACCAAACATAAAAATTCAAGGTATACCTTAAGAAGTTCATTCATGTCTGACTTCCATGAATTTGCTTCCTAAAAAGACAGGAGAAGAGCTCCTGAAACTTATCTAAAACAGATCTGTCAAGGTAAAATTTACTGTAGAGCAATTTAAATGTGCAACTGAATTCCTTGTGAACGACTGAACCTCGCTGCACGTTTCTTTTGGCTTAGAGCTCCACCTTCTGTTCCCTCACAACCTGCCTCACTAATCCAGGGCTCTCATTTGCTTGTACAACAAAGCTACTGGTCATTTATCTCAAGCATTTTTCTTCTCACTCTACAGATCTCTCAAATGTGAGCAGTCAATAGCTAAGTATCTAACTGACTCAACCCCACATTTGCTGGAGTCATCATCTCTGTCTTCCTACTGAACTTTTTCCTAAGAATGTATTTGAATCCATGTCAGCTGTATCTTTCTCACCTGCCATTTCTTCTCCTATTTCATCCCATTCTCTGCTGCCTATACTAAGGCAATTTAATTAAATAAATTTAAGGTCCTTGAAGTTAATTATTCAATATAAGTTTTTTGCAATGGTGGTAAGCAAATATTTCCAAAATCAATGGGGCACACAGCATCAGTTCTCCTACTAGTAGTAACAGTTAAATGTGTAATCCACTTACAAAATATATGAAATAATTCAACAGCTATACTGCAGAATATGGCAGATGAAGCTTAAGATACAGCAGCAACTAACTAGTAACACCAAGTGTTTTTAGGGAAATATGCAAGCTGAAACCTTCAACCACAAAAATGAGCCAGTAGAAACAACTATTCCAAGCCAATTCACAAACCTGTGAATGTTCAAGTCTTTCCTCTTTCCTACAGGCACAGAGAGGACCACAGCAGACAGGCTAAATGATCAGGTGTACTTTGCTTCCACATGGAACCAGGTTAGCAAACAGATAAAAGCCTCAATTGTCAAAAGCCAGAGACAAGCAACGTGTTGCCAGCACAGAACTTTTCTAGCACCAAAGTTACAAAACTATCAGCACAATACACTGAAGTATGCCAGGCACTTGTACTGATACCACACCTCTAAGTTCTTCTCCATATTTTTTATTCCCCTTATTCATGCTCTTTGAATCTATTCTATCTGATTCCACCTGTTCTGATAAGATGGACTTTACCTGCAGCATGTCTTGCATTTCTCTTCTCAGCTGGCCAAGATCCTGAAGTAAATCACTTGCCTTTTTCACTGTTTTCTCAGCTGAGCTGCCATTTTGGAAGGAGCTTTCAATAGCAGGGAGTGAGTCTGTACGCAAAGCAGTACCCCTGACAGGAGAAACACTCTTGATTAAAAAGTCTCATGGCTCCTCATATGACCCAAAAAACTGGCCAACTGTGAAACCAAGCATGAATTTAAAGTGCAAGAATACCAAACCTTCACATAAAATGGAATTTGCTTTTTCACAGAGGAAACCCCATAACCTTTCTGTCTACCACTTAGCACCTTGAGCTGTATCCTTGCATATTCAACAGTGAAACTACATCTAAAATGCATATCTAGCAGGGTAATACTTAAACTTTGGATACCCCACCATTTGAAGCAATTAACATTTTTGTCCATATTATCACAAATAAGACACTATGTATGTACCCCTTTCTCATCACATTAGTGAAATTATGACATGGAACTACTGCCTGTGAAAAATATGTTTCAGACTGGATGGCTAAGAACACTTCCTCACCCACCCTACTGCTTAGAAATCGTTAGGTGCATGCTCTCCTTCCCAAAGTGTTCTCACACAGCTCACACAAGCAGGCAGCTTGAAGTCCCCCTGCCAAGGACAATCCCAAAACACAATGCCTGCACAGCTGTCCTCCCAACCCTACTCTCCAAGCTGCTACACTAGAAGAATCAGACTGAGAAAAGCACTCCCAGTGACACTCACTGGCCTCTGAGAAATGTGTTATGAACTGTCCTCTGCAACAAGCTCTCATCTAGCTTCAGTACAACAAATGCAGAAGTAGCCTGGAGGTACCAGTGCTCTGGTGTTTTACTTCCACCACAGCTTTGTCAGACTCAAGGACTCTATTACAATGCAATGTCTCCATTACACCACCAATATCTAATATACTTTTCTCGATTTCATTAAAACAAACAAATCATCCTCAATCTTGGATTGTTATGGTTATTTACCTGTCTCTCTCAGAATGCCTGCTCATTTTATTACTGTTTAATGTTGCCTTCTCAGAAAACTCAGTTTGCCTTGGTGGCTTTTCTTGAGAATTCAGAATATGCTCAAGAAGTCTCCCTTCACCTAAGGCAGAAAAAAAACCAGTGACACTTACTGTTAAGTTTCTTTAATACATTTAACATTTTCTCCTCCTTTCCAAATGTTTCAACATTATGTAATAATCACCACAGATAGTAAAAACCCTTTTTTAAATTTTAAAATACAGACTTATTTCAGGTAAGACAAGTCACATTATACCACGCACATTAATCAGTCTTACTATGACTGCTTTACATTAGCAAAGTCAGAAAATAGATGAAGGAAACTGTGACAGCAATTAACTGAGTCACAGAGAAACATTCTGTCCACAGGTTTTTTTCTTCCTCTGTCTTGTTTGATGAAATCTTAAAAACTGAGTTTTGTGCCACTGAATGGATCAAAAGTAGTAAAAGGAAATTACTTCCTTTATGTTACAGATGTTATTTTCATTGTGATGGCCCAGAGACCCTATGAACACATGGTTTTATGAAAAAAAAAAAAAAAAATCAATTCAACCAATGCTAATGACTTGAGTAGATCCCAATCTTTTAATTATTCTATATAATCTTCCTTAAACTTGATAATGAATGATCATTCTTCATCTCAGAAAATATTTCTGTGAGCAATCATGTTGAGACACTATAGTCTTTAAGCCTGTAGTTCATTAAGAGTAAGTGACTTATCCACAAAACTAACCCTTTCTAAACATGTTTTCAAATTTTCTGAATACGTGTACTGAAGTGTCGTCAACTCAAGTGCTCAGAAAACATGAGCCCCACAGAAAGCAAACCTCAGGCCATGCCTTTCAGGCCAGTGGAGGACAGGAGTGTCTTACCTGCAGTACCTTCACTTCTGGATTTGGGAATATTTTCCTTTTCTGTTACAGGGTTTTCTTTCTTTAAGATTTTCAAACTTTTTGATACAGGTTCTGGCGCACATCTCCGAGGAACTGGTGTCTTTAGAGGAGATTTTTGTGTATCGATCCCATGACTCTGAAATTGGCTTGAATATGCTCCAGGAAAACAAAAAAAAACAAACACGTTATTTAAATGTTAATAATTTTCTTCATAGGAAAACAAATATAGAAAAAAAAGCCATGCCAATATTATGTATTTTTCCACAGAATTGCAAAACTAGTTAAAAAGCAAACTGAAAGAAAGTTTCATTCTTACAAGTGCTATTACAAAAGGATCAAAAAATCCCCAACCATAGTATGAGCTAGCTCATTACAAGCTTCCACAGAGATTATTTTAGGTTAAATACAGGTGCAGACTAAGCACTTAGTAAATAAACTCTCACTTTAATATAAGATGGAACATCTTCAGAGTAAGTAGCATATATTATATAGTATATTAGGCAATAAAATCAACTCTACAGAAGAAATTTACTACTCATTAATGATGGGATACACAATTCAATATTAACAGAAAGCAAATTAATGCAGAACTAACACTGGATGTAAGATCTTAAGAATTTGTCTTCACCTTGGGCAGGTGCACCCCTGGTGGGAAATAAACTCCTCCGACACGAAGGGACTCCATCAGTAAGCAACTGCTGCTCTGGCTGCTCAGGCTGTTTTGGCATGTGACTGGAGGACAGGACCTGAACTTGCTGTAAGCCACCCATGTTGACTGCAGAGCTAATGAGATGGGACTGAGAGACAAAATTACAAAGTATTTCTGATATATGCATTGGTTTTCCCAAGTAAAACTTTAAACATGAAAGCTTTAAGCACGTAATCATATTAATCAGATTTTGACATGGTGTTTGAGAGAGAAGTAATTTATAGTAACCCTGGAACACAGCCATGCTTGGACATTAGTCTGCCTTCCAAAAAGCACACAGGATTCTCTGAAGAATTTATAACTGTTCTTAGATTTTTAATTTGACTGGCTATTTATTAAATCAAAGTTTCCTCAACTAACAAAGGTCTAAACAACTTCTCAGGGGAAATGAGCATTTTAAAATTTTTGCATTTACTTTGCACAGACACAAAAATTAAGGGGGGGTGTGAGGGGATTAGATATCTGTGACAGAACCAGAAATAAAACCATTGCCAAAAAAGCTCTAAGGTCACATGCTGGGCATTGAATCTTTCTTTCTTTCTGACACTAAGAATCTTTGTAACATTAACACTGAGATACAGAAGAAATTAAACTAAAGCTTCTGCCCTGTTACTTAGATACCTGGATATTCATTTGTTGCTCCTGTAACTTTTCCAAGTGCTGGATCCGTTGCACCATGAAAGCATTGATTTGTTTCTCAAGCTCACTGACCCTTTCATGGCAGTGGGGCTTCTCGTGGTGAATCTTCATATTTATTTGCTGTTCAGCAACACACTGCAGTTGTCTGTCTGTCTCCTGCAGTTTATGAAGTAATGCTGAAACTGAGTTAACTTTTGCTTCTAAATCGTTCTGAACCTGCAAGAGAGGAAAAGAAAGAAAGGGAAAAAACCTTCCTGCAAAAGATGTGCATACATGAAGAGAACAAAACATCCTTCCCATCACCCTGGAACAATCTGCTTCCCAAAGAATAGAAATAAAATCCCAGTCAGCCCTAATGTTTGGTGGTTTAGAAATAATATGAAATTCTTTTAAAAGATAAGTCAAATGGTCTCTGTCCATTTGCCCATTTAGCCAAATGCAAATTGGTTTTCTCTGGTATATGGGTCAGTAAGTCTGAGATGACTAACCCACAGAAAACAGCAAGCAGGCACTTTCAGTCTCTCTGGCTATAGTACCAACAATTTTAGGCTTGCTTAGAACATCTACTATTCTAAGTGGACCAAGAACTAATAATATCCCAAGCTACTTACTTTAAGAAGTGGAGCTGTAGTGGCAATTGCTGCAGCAGTTGCTGCTGCAACAGTTGTTGCAGAATCAACTTCCCTGTGTGCTGGCCTGGTGTCATGACCAATGCTTTCCCTTTTTTCTGTGGAGGCATTTCCTAAGAGCTGCACCTTCACCTCTTTAAGTACAGGAGTGTTCTGAGTTCTAAGAAAATAAACAAGTGCCTGTAAATAGCATTGTTTTCTCCATATCAGCAAAGTCTAACTCAATTCTTGATGCTCAAGATTTCTAGCCTAAGGGTAATCAGGGTGTTTCCTTACCTGTCTTTAGAAATATTATATGGTTTTGGCACAAAATAAATCACCTATCAGAGCAGGTCTTGCCTGATTCTTATATAATGAAATCATTAAATCAAAGCATTACCAAAAATATGCAAAATAAACACGATATTCCAGTGAGCTCTGAATGATAAAATAAACTGAAAACACCTTCAGAGACAGAAAAACAGAGAGCACTACAAAACACCTTCTCCTTTCCAGCTATGCATTTTGGCAGAAACTGAAGCAGCAGCATAATGGTATATCTGCACATAAAGAGCTGAGCTGAGACACTAACAGCACCACATACTTACTTTTGCTTTAATACTGCTCTTAAAGCCTCCTTCTGGCCAGTAGCATATTGAGAAATAAAGACATCATCTGTAAGGAAAGACAAAACATCTATTGCCTGCATCAACCACATTGCAGCTGCAAAATTTTTCATTTTGCTAAGTAGCGGACTTAAATCATGGCTTCATTTAGCACAATTTTATATTGTATTGAATGCTGGTGTCAATAAAATCTATCTCAGTATGCTGTGAAAATAACAATACCTTACCTTCATAAAATTTGGGGGAAAATTCCATATAAATAGTAACTAGAGCTTAGACAACCCATTCAATAAAACCCTGCGAATTCTAACTTGAAAAAGCTTTAATTAAAAAAAAAAATAGAACTGTGATATGAGTATTTCCCCACAATAATCACAAATTGCAACAGATCTTTCTTAATAGCTTTAAATTATGCCAAAGAATTGCAGGCTTTCCCTCACCCTCTGTTTGCTGGGCAGAGGTAACAACCCAAGATGTGGCAGATTTGGTGTTTCTCTGCTGTCAGTTACACACAGATGCTGAAATGCCAGCCAGCTGCTGCCTCTGTCAGCATAAAAGAGGAAACCAAAGTATTCATTTCTGGCCTTAAATGGGGGTATTGATTTGTGTTTCTTCCACTACACAGCCATAGATATCCAAGAAACCTGCAGAAGTGTATTTTCTTTAAAAAGTCTTCGCTTCCCCAAATTGGATTGAACCTGACTGGCATATTCAGAAGTCAAAGGAAAAGGTGTCAACATGATTTCTTAGATTCCTAAGGATTAAAAGTATCTTTTTACTGTATAGGCTGCTTGCAGAAAAATATGCATTTGTAGTACAACTACCCACATGAGAAAAATGCATCCAAACAAGGTCTCCCCCCAAGATTCTCTATTCAGAGACACAAACAGTTCAACTAGTAAAAGCAATCTAAAAATTCTGGTGCACTAGGACTGGAGGGGGACCAGAATTCCCTCTCAGTTAATCAAAAGAGCTTCATAAATTAGTACAATGCCTGCAAGACCGGAATAAAATTTGCATAATTTAAGAATGGAAATGACACTATCTTTTTATCAAAGAAACTTTTGAATATTTTCACTCAAAAGTTTCTACATTGAAGTAAAATACCTAAGAAAAAATTAAAGCTCCCTTTTCCTCTAACAGTTTTCTTACAGAAAAAAGGGGCTGTAGCAGTATCAGTGTGACTTACCCTTGCATTTTCTGCTATTTTCTAGTAGCAGAGAAGGATCTTCTTGCACTGCAACTTTTTTAGGATAGTCCTTCAGAAGAAGAGCAGAAAAATCATACGTCAAAGCCTCTAGTATCAGTGGCCAAATTAATAGAAGTGGATGGAATTGCTGAATACACAAATGTAAACATCTCCACACACTTACACAAGGCCTTGAAACTAAACGTGTTAAGATATCTACTGCAGAATCATCTGGAACAAAAAAGTATGTTTAGAACTCTACCATAGAATCATCTGGACACTGTAGTCAAGAACTCAACTGTTTAGTGACAAAAACCCTAGAAGCACAGTTCAAATGAACAGTATATGTTCTAAGTGCAGATTAAGTGTATTCTCCCCATTTATGGCCAAAGCAGCAGTAGTGAAACTACACGTGTTTAAGTTTGTTAATCTGTTCATTTGTTAAACAAGTTAAACTGCTAATCTCAAACAATTCAGGATTACCCACACACAGAACTAAACACTCATAGCACTGATTGTGGAAATGAAGAGCTGAATTTTCTCAAGTACAATCCATCAATAACCAAAGCCTATGAAGAGTCATAAAGGCAAGTTAGGAAAGTAAAAACCTTTTTCTTAACCTTATTTGATGGTGGAGAACTCCACCATACTTCTGAGACTTTGTTCAGGTCACAAGGTCTGCTTTGAGTCATGCAGAGACATTGCTGCAATCCTGTCACAGCATGGTTTGATTCTGTCCTTAGACACACACTATCACCATACGGGTGCCCTGGAGACAAGTTTCCACTCCATGTAAGGCACAACAAACAAATCAAAAGGAAATAAGGCTTTTAATTCTAAGTATTAAAGAGTTCCATATAAATTAATGTCTATTTCATTATCTGGCATATGAAAAGGAAAAATAAAAGTCTATAAAAGGTTTTCGTTTTTTCAACAAATCTTGTGCCACGGTGAGGCTGCACCCTAAATCCTGGGTTCAGCTCTGGGCTCCTCATACAAGGAGGACATTGAGGTTCTGGAACATGTCTAGAAACGGGAAAGGAAGCTGATGAAGGGTCCAGGGCACAAGTCTGGTGAGGACCAGCTGAGGGACCTGGGGGTGTTGAGCCTGGAGAAAAGGAGGCTCAGGGGAGACCTTCTGGCTCTCCACAGCTCCTGACAGGAGGCTGGAGTGAAGTCAGGTCAGGGTCTTCTCCCAGGTAACAAGGGACAAGAGGAAGTAGCTTCAAGTTGCAGCAGAGGAGAATTAGATTAGACATTAGGAAAAAATTCTTCCCCAAAAGGGTTGTCAAGCCCTGGAAGAGGCTGCCCAGGGTAGTGGTGGAGTCTCTATCCCTGAAGGGGTTTAAAAGACTTGTAGATGTGGTGCTGAGGGACATGGTTTAAAGATCTTTTCCAACCTAAACGAGTCTATGATTCTGTGTGTAACCACCTTTTCAACTGAAGAATTACACTGAAATTGAAAAACAAGCCTTGGCATTCATTAAGCAGCAGGTAACAGTAAACAAAGCCCCTCCAAACACTCCCATATTAGTGTCACATTAGCAGGAACTGCAAGAGGAGAGGAGCTGCACAGTTCTTGTGTACAAGCTGAGCCAAAGACTTCATGTGCTTTTACAAAGGTTACAACTTTTTTGAGAAAAATGTTGTTCTCTTAGTTCAAGGTCGCAGGAAGCAACAGTAACTTTTCTTACCATTTGTGATAAAATCAGGGGCTTCAGAGAATATTCTTCTGAAAGCAAACATTCTGGACATCCTTTAGTACTCAGGACTCCTAGAATAAAAGCAGTTTTACTGTGGTTATAATGACGTTTTGTGCATTTTCAATACACCTTGACTAATCCAAATCTTAGAGTATCTAAACATGATGACTTGCATCACACAACCAACCACAGCCATCAAGCTGAAGTTTATTATTAATGAATTAATTCTGTGAGCCTGGACTATAGCTTTGCTCTACAGTATATGAAAAAGCCTCTGAAAAACAGAGCATTAAGAAAATTGATAATGTCTAGCTCAAATCCCTGTCTAATGATCATAGGAATATAGAAAGTTACATGTCTAGAGAGACAATTATAATTATACCAAAACTTGCCTTCTAGAAGAAGGACACCAAGGACAACACACATTTTAGTTATGCCAGAGACTAATATACCTTCCTAACACCATAACAATAACATCTTTTGAAGCTGTTTGATCCTCAGCCCCAAAAAGAGTAAAATCCCCTCCCCAAACTTCAAATACTGCAATCAATATGTATTTTAAAGAAACAAAAATACTATTCTGACTAGATAAGTAGCACAGGTTGTCTCAGTTTTGAATTTGAAGAGTAAATGGTATATCACTACAGTCTAATTCTACTCAAAAAAATACTTCAAATTATCTACTTAATGCTACTACAAATTGTTTTGTTTTCAAAAATTTACATGAAAGGAAGTAATTTATTTTATTCACTTTGTTTACTGATCTATGTGAGCTTCATTGGTAGAGTTGACCAGCATATGTTGCTTGTGTCAAGCAGGAGAGGTTTAGGAATTGAAGGGTTGGCTTGTTTCTTTGCTTTCCAAGTCAACAAGGGAAGAAAAATAATTTTAATAAGTAAAATTTAAAGTGATGATAGTTAGGAGGGAAACAATTTTTTTTTCCTAATAGTTCTTTTGATAGATAACTGAGCAGCTCTGCAACTCATATTGTTCCATAAAACCTGCAAAAACTCCAAAAATTAAACAAGACTGGAGCTGAAAGACTTTCTCAAAATGCCTACTTCCAATATTTAATATTTATTACCTTTCAAGTGTCCAACTAACGCAACTTTAAAAAGGCAAGCTCACACAGTGATAGCTTGAACACCTACTAGCTCAAGTTCCCCAGCAAACATAATTTTTAAAGAAGTAGAGAAGAAGTGTTTAAAACATTTTTGTTCTCTCTTCCAGTATAAAACCACAAAATAGCTCACAAAATTCCATGAAAACACAAAGAAGGCCCAGATAGCTGGGGTGTCTGTTAACAGAAGCAGTATTCTGTGAGGCACAGATTTGCTTGCTGGCTATACTTTAGGCATAAAAATGAAGAGATATGTACAGTGTCTAAAAAGATGAGCTACAAACAGCATTAAAAACTGACAGCACTGGAAAGGCATCAACCTTCTTGACTTTCTTCATTTAGCTCCCTGCACACATACACTAGTGATGCTTAAAACCTTCCTACCTAGTGCATTTATAGAATCATAGAATCACTAAGGTTGGAAAAGCCCTCTAAGATCATCAAGTGCAACCATCCACCCAGCACTACCATGACCTCTAAATCATGTCCCCAAGTGCCATGTCTACACATTTTTTTGAACCCCTTCAGGGATGGGGACACCCCCACCTCACTGGGCAGCCTGGGCCAATGCCTCACCACTCTGCCAGGAAAGAAATTCTGCCTAATATCCAAACGAAACCTCCCCTGGTGCAACTTTGGCTCATTTCTTCTCATCCTACCACTAGTTCCTTGGGAGAAAAGACCAACCCCCACCTCACTCCAACCTCCTTTCAGGGAGTTGTGGAGAGCCAGAAGGTCTCCCCTCAACCTCCTCTTCTCCAGGCTAAACACCCCCAGGTCCCTCAGTCGCTCCTCACAAGCCATGTTCTCCAGACCCCTCCCCAGCTTCGTTGCCCTTCTCTGGACCCACTCCAGCCCCTCAAGGTCTTTCTTATCCTGCGGCACCCAAACGGGACCCCAGTGCTCAAGCTGTGGCCTCACCAGTATTGGACAATTTCACAATTTGTGAAATGTCACCATGAGATTTGTGGATTTTTTGATTTAAAAAAAAAAAAAAGAAAAGGTAAATGCCTAATAATTAAGGACTAAGAATCTGGAGTGAGAGGCTGTGTGCTAACAAGTTCTGGTGAGGGGGCTCTGCCTCCTCGCCCTGCACAACTCGCTTTTCACCCACAAAAAAAAAACACGGTCGGGGAAAACAAACACACAGACAGAGAACTCTCGAAAGCGTGCTGGTGCTTGAAGTACCAGAAGACCAAAATTCCTTTACTCTAAGGCTAGGACACGCCGGAGGCTCCGCCGCGCTGCAGCTCGCAGGCAGGCGGGATGCGGGGGACCCACCTG